GTGCAGGTATCCCTTTGACATGATGATTTCCATTCCTTTGGGTGTGTACCCAGCAGTGGGATCGATGGAACTTATGGCAGTTCTATCTGAATTGTTTGAGGAACCTCCATACTGTTCTCCATAATGGCTGTACCAATTTACAGTCCCACCAACAGAGTAGGAGGGTTCCCCTTTCTCCTCATCCTCATAAGCATTTGTTATTGTCAGTCTTTTTGATATTAGCCAGTCTAACTGGAGTTAGAGCGCTCTGTTTTGTGAGCCATCATCTAGACACATGTCAGGGCCTTCGTCAGATCCTGACTGGTTTTGGCTGGGTCTCAGCCCTGGATGGGAGTGACAGGTTGGGCCTCAGTTGGGGCCTCAGAGTTCCTAGGCTGCCAGGGCCCAGCCAGGCAAGCAGGGTGCAGGGCAGTGAGAGGGAGAGAGGACCTGGGTGGCCAGAATAAGGAGCAGAAACTCCAAAATTAGAGGCCAAGGCAGGAGGCTGCTGCTGCTCCCACAGGACCTGTCATCCCTGTGTCCAGTCCTGGGGAATTGAGGGTGGATGTCTGTTAAAGGAGCTGGCACGGTGCTCAGAGTTAGGGACCAGGAACAAGACAGCGCTCACGGTCGCAAGAGAGAGTGATGGGGCTAAATGGGAAGTGATGGCTGCTGGGGAGAGCGACTGAGGAGGGAACTGCTGTGGGGTTGTGGCATCGCAAGCCTTCATGTCAGGTGTTACTTCTTTACTTGGGTGCTGTGTGCCCCATGCGATACTCAGTAAATGTCTGCAGGGAACACAGCCTGACTGGGGGACCCTGGGCACCTAGGAAATGGTGGCCACAGAGCAGAGCATGGCCAGATCTGGTTGTAGGGCGAGGCGGCTCACAGTATGTGCCTGGTGGGAAAGAGGAGATCGGACCAGGCCAGGTTGGAGGCTGAGAGAGCTTCCTAAATGAGGCGGACGTGAGCCACGTGAGCCTGCTGCCTCATTCCCTGCAGAGACCCCAGTCTGTAGGGATGAGGTGCTCAGAGCCCACTTGCTCTTGGTCTGCTGCACGTGGGGCTCTGTGAAGAGAAAGTCTCTGTCGGCTTCACTGGGGTCATGTCAGCCCTTGGCAGCAGTGTTTGTGGCTACTTAGCCACAAACTGGAGAGTGGCGCATGTGCCGCAGTGCCTGGCAGGACTGGGGGGGCTATCTGGTCCGCACAGGAGGCAGCAGGAACTTGGAGAGAGAAAGGGATGCGGCCTTTGTCCCAGAACTGTTGGTTGTGTGGCCTTGCCATCTCAGCCTGCGTAGGCCCCACTTTTGGGAGAAGGCCTGCTCTGGTTGAGTCCTCGGGTGCCGAGGTGCCTGGCAGGGTCCCCTTCAGTTCTGCCCTGGGTTGGTGGGCAGAGGGACGCAGGGTGAGTTGGTGAGGAGATAAACGGGGCCATTCTCAGCATCACTCTGCCCCGGGTGGGAGAGTCTCAGAGATATTGAGGAAAACCTTTTCTTTGCCCTCTTGACCTCCCTGAAAAGCAGGTGCAGAGAGAAACCCACATTCCCTGGGGAAGAGCAGGAGAGGATGCTTATTGGGGGGCAGGGGGACAAGGATCCTTTGGCTGGAGGGGCCTGAGCCTCAGCCTGGACTAGTGATGCCTCCTCCTTCCTTCCTCTGAGGGGGCGGGAGGGAGAGGAGCGTGGCCCATGGTGTGGCTCAAAAAAATGAGGGTATAAGATAGCAGCGGGAATTTTCTTCTTTTTTTCCTATTACAATGGTAATATATGCTCCTTATAAAAAATTCAAACAGGGCAAAAATAGACAATGTATAAAGTGATAGTTCCCTGTAGCCTCGCACCGCAGAGGTAACCACTGGTACTGCCATGGCGTGTGGAACAGAGCAGCTGGGGTCGGCACCCCGGACCTTTATGCCCAGCAAAGGACGTCTGTTCTGGCTGAGTCCAGCTACTCAGGGCTTGGTTGGGTTGGGGCTGGAGTAAACTTCCCTTTTACCTCCCAGCATCTTTCTGAGCTAAATGGGGCTGAGTCCAGGTTTGAGGAAAGTGACTAGGGCTTGGCCTTTAAAGAGTTAAAGAGTCTAGCTTAGGGTGGGCATTGGGTTGAGGAAGTGGGGGCGAGAGGATGTGGATGGTGGCTGGCTGGTCTTTATGCTAAACTTTCCTCTTGCCCCACAGTCATCTTCACACACGATGTCCCTTCGGTATCTGTCTCACTTAGCTCTCTTCCCCTCACTCCCCTGCGTCTTGTGAGAGGCAGATGCACCCTCTGAGCACAGCCTCTGCCCTCCCTGCTTGTGCCACGTCTGTCCTGACCCGGCTTTCCCAGGGGATGGTCTCTGGTTTGGGAGGAGACACCAGCAGCCCAGGCTCACTCTGCTCAGGCCATCGAGTGGGCCCCCAAGGAGGGGACAGGCAGTAGCCTGTGGTGAGCACACAGGCTTTAATCACGATGGACTCTCCTAAAGGGATGTAATAGGAGGTGTCCCGGGAAAGCCTTCAACATTAAAACAAACAAAAAATTACCACCACCACCAAGCCCTTGCAGTGGCTTGATTCTGGATATTAGGATGTACAGGGACTTTTCACACAAAGGATCTCCCATTCCCTACCCCCTTATATCCACCAGAAGCTCAGGGAGCTGGTGTTGTGGGGTAGGTGGGTCTGAGGTGGGGAATGACAATCATCCCAACCACCATCCCACTGACTGAGGCATGTCTGGGGGTGTGTCTGTGTGTGGAGTATGTGTATGTATATGGTGTGTGTGGTGCGGGGGGCAGGTGTGCGGTGAGTGTGTGTGTGTGGGGGGCTTGCGTGGTGTGGGGAGGCGTGTGTGTGGCGTGTCTGTGAGGTGTGTGTATGTGTGCGTGTGGGATGTATGAATGGCATGTGTGTGTGGTGTGTGTGGTGTGTGCGCATTTCCGAACTTTGAACCCTTCAGTGACCCGTCTTACCACCGCCACCAGACTTTGTTCTACTTCATGCTTGATTGGCTGGGTCTGGAATTCTAGGCTAGAAGGCTTCTTCCTCAGAAATTTGAAGACATTACTCCATATGATTCCCAGTGTTACTAGTGAGGCCTCCAATGCTGTTCCAATTTCTGGATGTATAAACCTGGTTCCCCCCTTTGGAAGCCTTCAGGGTCTCCTTTTTATGCCTGGTGTTCTGAGCCCTCCCAGTGATGTCTGCGGGCGTGGGTCTGTCTGTGGGCGTGGGTCTGTCTGTGTTCATTGTGCTGCAGACGTGTGGGCCCTTTGTGCTGGCACTCATGTCCTTCAGTTCAGGAAGACTTTCTTGTACTATTGCTTTCAGTTTCTTCCTTTTTGTATTCTGTGTTCTCTCTTTCTTTTGGAGCAGTTTTAGCTTACAGAAAAAATGAGTAGAAAGTAAAGAGAGTTCCCATATTATTCTCCCTCCCAGTTTCCTTTGCTATCATCTTGTATTAGTGTGGTACGTGTGTTACAAATGATGAGTCAGTTATCAGTACCTTATTACTAACTAGAGTCCATAGTTTACGTTGGGGTTCACGTATCATAGTATCATACAGAATAGTTGCACTGCCCTAAAAAAACCTCTGTACTTTGCCTATTCATCCCTCTCTCCCTTCCTTCAAACTCCCAGCAACCACTGATCTTTTTTACTGTCTCCATAATTTTGCCTTTTCCAGAATGTCATGTACTGGAATCATACAAGTATGTAGACTTTTCAGACTGGCTTCTTTCACTTATGCATTTAAGAGCCTTTTGTATCTTTTCATGGTATGATAGCTCATTTCTTTTTATCACTGTATAATATTCCATTGTCTGGGTGTACCACAGTTTGTTTATCCGCTCACCTACTACTAAAAGACATCTTGGTTGCTTCCAGGTTTTGGCAACTACGATTAGAGCTGTTATAAACATTTGGTTGCAAGTTTTCTGTGGACCTAAGTTTTCACCTCAATAGGGTAAATACCAAGGAACGTGATTGCTCCTTGTATGGTAAGAGTATGTTTAGTTTTCTAAGAAACTGCCAACCCATGCACAAGTACATCCCTCCCTAGGAGGGTGGGCTGCACCCGCCCTGTGCAGTGGTCGTGTGTGTTAGGACTGTCTGTGCCTCTGGAAAGTGTGTAGTGAGAAGAACATGGGCTTCTGGGTGATGAAAAGCTGGCTCTGAGTCTCCCCTCTCCTTTACTGGCTGCTTGTTCTCGGATCAGTTACTTTACCTCTGAGCCTCAACTTCCTGATCTGTGAAATAGGGGTAGTGTCTCCTAGCTCACAGTGTGTTGAGATGTGTAAATAGGAGTGATATAAGAACCGTTACACTGGTTGTAACATACAGTAGATGCTCAACAGATATGAGTGCTCTTTCTCTTCCTGGGTCTCTTGCTTAAGGTCTCTTTCTGCCGTTGTTGTCTGTGCCTCCATCTTGCAGAGGTATTCCTGGCAGGGCTTGGGGTGAGTCAGTGCGTGTATGTGTGTGTGGGTGGGGGAATGTGTGCGTGTGTGCTTATGTGCACCAGTGTTCCTGGCCCTGGGCCTCTGGGTGAGCTGTTCTTTTCTTGGGCTTACTGGTGGTTCAGTAAAACTTTGGCTAGGAATGGCCAGAGGAGATGATGTAAACAGGGAAAAATGTGGGTTGGTCTGTCTATACCAGGAGCCTGGAGATGTGGGGTTCCCTGCCAGGCCCAGCCTCGCTTCAGAGTTTCAGATGGAGGGGGCATGGGGCAGAGGCAAGGTCTCTGAGCTCTGGGTGGGAGAAGGCATGGAGTGGTAACTAACAGCTGACTTGCCCAATGGTACACGAGGAGCTTCCCCTGCTCAGGATGTGGTTTTCTCCATCATGGAAAAGTTTTGGATAGTTCCCAGCTATGTCTGAGGCTAAGAAGACTGGACTGATGGCAGAGCAGGAGCCTGTGGGTAGAGGTTGTGGGTGTCTCCCAAAGCAAGGAGGGGCTCTGTGAGGTGCCCAGCTCTGGGGTGGGAGCTGGGCTCCCTGGGCCTCTGACCAGAGTTTTGCCCACCCTCACTTCTCACAGGTGGTACAAGCTACACTCCAAGGCAGGCAAGAAGGAGAAGGAGCGCGGAGAGATTCAAGTCACCATCCAGTTCACTCGCAACAACTTGAGCGCTAGCATGTTTGACCTGTCCATGAAGGACAAGCCGCGGTCCCCCTTCAGCAAGATCAAGGACAAGATGAAGGGCAAGAAGAAGTATGACCTGGAATCTGCCTCCGCCATCCTTCCGAGCAGCGCCCTAGAGGATCCCGATCTGGGCAGCCTGGGCAAGATGGGCAAAGCCAAAGGCTTCTTCCTCCGCAACAAGCTGCGAAAGTCGTCCTTGACCCAGTCCAATACCTCACTGGGCTCGGACAGCACCCTGTCCTCGGCTAGCGGGAGCCTGGCCTACCAGGGGCCCGGTGCCGAGCTACTCACCCGCTCACCAAGCCGCAGTAGCTGGCTGTCCACCGAAGGGGGTGAGGAGCCAGGGGCCATGCCCTTGGGGAGGGGAGGACTGGGCTGGCTCTCCCCTCCAGGTAGTGAGGAAGGCCTGGGGCTAGGAAATGGGGCTTCTCTTCCTATGTGCTAACTGCATGTGTGTTTCTTTTTCAGGCAGGGACTCTACACAGTCCCCCAAGTTGCTCACCCACAAGAGGACCTATAGCGATGAAGCCAGCCAGATGCGAGCGGCTCCTCCTCGGGCCCTTCTTGACCTTCAGGGCCACCTCGATGCTGCCTCCCGCTCTTCCTTGTGTGTCAATGGGAGCCACATTTACAATGAGGAGCCCCAGGGCCCTGTGCGGCACCGCAGCTCGATCTCAGGCCCATTTCCACCCTCTAACTCCCTGCACAGTGTCTCTTCCCGGCCCTCCGAGGAGGGACCTCGATCCGCAGATGACTCCTGGGGCAGGGGCAGCCGCAGCACCAGCAGCTCGGAGGCAGTGCCTGGACAGGAGGAGCTGAGCGCTCAGGCCAAATTGCTGGCCATTGGGGCCAGCCGGTCTGGAGAGGATGAGGGGGCCCGGCTTCCAGAGGGGAAGCCAGTGCAGGTTGCCACCCCCATGGTGGCCTCCTCTGAGGTTGTGGCAGAGAAGGAAGGAGCCCGGAAGGAGGAGCGCAAGCCCCGGATGGGCCTCTTCCACCATCACCACCAGGGGTTGAACCGGAGCGAGCTGGGGCGCCGCGGCTCTCTAGGGGAGAAGGGGGGTCCCACCCTGGGGCCCCCCCCCTACCATTCATCCAGTGGGGAGGAAAAGGCCAAGAGTAGCTGGTTTGGCTTGAGAGAAGCCAAGGAACCAACTCAGAAACCCAGGTATGTCTTTGGCAAGACCAGCTTTGCCCCTTGCGGAAGATCCTGGGGTGTTTGCAGCCTGGACCCTGGGGCAGGGAGGACTGAGTAGATGTGCCCTCGTGCAGGCTGCTGGGGCTCTGGCTTTGCATGGTTAAGTGGGGGTCCCCTTTCTCCCCAAGCCAAGGCTTGTTCTGTGCTCACTGACACAGATGAGTTGCAAGGGTACAGTCCTCCGAGAGTCCCGTGGACAGAGACATCTAGCTCCTCAGCCACCGGCCTTGCTGAATGAGTTGGCACGCCCACCCCTGAGGGAGGGGGAGGAATAGGAGAAAACCAGGGAAAGTCCATTTGTATGAATTCTTTGCTTCCTGACCACTGCTACCTCTTACCCTGTGGCCACAAGGTAAGGAAGCCTTGGCAGAGGTGGGGACTAGGGACTACACCCTCAGACTTACCCTTCCCCTCTCCTTAGCTAGAGGATTTTCCCCTGGCTGATTCTGTGATCTCTTCCCTCAGGGAGGTGGGAGTCAATTGATGCCCCTCCCCCACCCCCCCATGCATTCACCCCCAGTTGCTTCCCAGCCTGGCAAGAGGCTGTGGACAGCTCCTCTGAAATGTGTGAATTACCCTTTGTCCTCAAGACTCTTGGGCTCTGGCCCTCTCTGGTTTTCTTGGTCTTGGGGTAAGGCACTGTTGCAAGTGCTGGTGATGGCTGCTCTGTTTGGAATGTGCTGACTCCCCCAGCTCAGGCCCTGCGCAAAGCCCCGACCCTCACCCCAGCCCCTTTGCCTACTCCTAACTCTGAGCCAGGGGAGGCTGCTGAATTGTCCGGAAGAGCCCAGTTAGGGATCCAGGCACAGGGCACAGAAGCATGTATCCCTCCTTCCCAAAGGTCCGGGGCCAGCCCCAGCTGGTGTGGCAATGGCAGCTGTTTCCTGCCCCTCCCTGCTTGATGATATATGGACAGGAAGGAAGGGTGGGAAGGCTGGGCACAGTGAATAGTCAAGAGACAGGGCAGAGGAAGGACCCTAAACCTGTTCCCTGGAAGAGGGGAGAGGAGTCTGTAGTCCTGGTTTTTCTCTTTCCCTGCGAAATTCTGAGCCTGCTGAGAGGAGTGGGGAAAGAAATGCAGGGTGCATCTGGCTTTGGGCCCTGGCCAACTGGCAGCCCTCACCAGAGCCTCACGGACAAGAGGTGATTGGGGTGTGTCAAGCTCAGGGGGATGCCACCCTTGGCCTTCACGCTAAGCACAGCAGCTTCTGTTCCTTCCGCCCAGCCCCTGCTCAGCAGAGCCCAAGGGATCTGCTGGCTATCTGCAGTCTAGGGCAAGACTGGGAGGAAGGGGACAGGCCTTTCCCAGATGCCCAGGCTGAGCCTGGTGGCTTTGTGACAGTCAGAGGTATGTGTAGATGGTGAGGTGGAGGGAGGTGGCAGAGACCTGGAAAAGGGTATTTGCTGAGAGGAGCTGGGGGCCCGGATCAGAAGGGGTACAGACTGTGGGCCCAGAGTGGCTCTCTGTAGGATGTCCCTGGGCCTTTTCCAGGGCAGGGCAGATGCTAGGGCGCATTTTTCTGTGATGTCATTTGTAGGTGAGTGCCCAGGCTTTGAGCTTAGACTCCTGCAGGCTCTGACTGTGAGTGATATTGGGGTTGTCGTTGCTCCTGGGATTCTTAGTCTCAATTTTTCTTCTGCTTCTCTATGTCTCCTAATGGCCTCTCAGAGTCTCTGATGGATATAAGGAAGCTGAGGTTTCTGTCCTGCCTGACTGTGAGTGATATTGGGGTTGTCGTTGCTCCTGGGATTCTTAGTCTCAATTTTTCTTCTGCTTCTCTGTGTCTCCTAATGGCCTCTCAGAGTCTCTGATGGATATAAGGAAGCTGAGGTTTCTGTCCTGCTCATCCTTGAATTCTGAGACTTGTCCTCAGCAGGCTGGAGAAGATCCCCAGTGGTGGTGGGGGGGTCGCAGCTGCAGGGGCAGGCTCTGTTGCCATGCATCCAGGTGGGGCAGGAGGGGATGTTCTTTGGGTAAGGTGTCCTGGCCTGGAAAGATGTGAAACCTGGATGTTGAGCTCCATCTGCAGCCCCCTGGCCCAGTTTGCCATGAAGGAAGGGGAAGGCTGGACTGGGAGACCCAACTGTTGGCGCTTACCCGGAGGACTTGCTTTAGGGCTTCTGAGGAGGGAAGGAGAGTGGGCTAGCTCATGGCAGGAAGCTGTAGGTTTGATCCAGAACTGGAGTGACTGAATGGAGCTGCAGGATCTCCAGCCCCTGGGGCCCGGGAGCTGTCTGTAGACAGCCCAGAGGTTTGGGATGACTCAGCTCTGGAGCTCCCACTGCAGATTGCTGGGTGTTCCTCACTAGCAAGGGTAGAGGCGCCCTCTAGTGCCCCCTTGTGGCACTAGTGCCCCAGAGAGAGGCCAGAAGCAAAATGTGCTGAGTGCAGTATCCAGAAAAATGCTGGTGCTGTTGTAGAATGCAGTGGCTGGAATAGAAGGAGGGCGTGATGGCCCAAGAAGACGGACCTCTTGTTCCTCCTGACATGGCTCTCGTCTGCTAGGTCCCATGGCTGTTACATTAGGCCCCTACCAGTGTGGAGGAGGAGGAATAGGTAGTTGATATTAAGCCGTGACTGGGACATGGGACTCATACCTGCTTGCCAGCCTTGTGGTGAACCGTTCCTGCTGAGCTGCAGCACCGGCTACTCAGTGCCTGTTTGAGGATAGGCAAGATCACATGTGTTAAACCCACCAGTGCCAAAGCCGACTGTCTTTGTGTCTATTCCAGGTTATCTCTGTGCTCTCCTGCCTCCTCCCCCCAACCATAGAACTTTGTGCACAGTAGGGAATGAGATGTTGAACACAAAAATTTTTTAATTGGGGGTAAGTGTGGTGCAACATAGAGGCAAGTATGTTATTATGGCCTTTAGCCATCTCTGCAACTCCCCCAGCTCCTCACCAGGGGTGGTGGACGTCCAGGTCCTAGCGAGCCTGGAATGTGCTGTGGCTGCTGAAAGAGCTCAGGGTCTCAGGCTGCATTCTTAGTGGTGTAAATGAGTAACTATAACATGTGCCCAGTGACTTAGAATTAGTGTGGCCTTATGTCCTATTTGTGCCTGTTTCCCTGGCATGGTTACTATATTAACAGTGTTCTGGGTTGGAAGATTAATTATATGGTCTCCCTACTTACAGTTTACAAGGCCCTTGTCTGTCACCTCATTGTGCTCAGATGATGGGAAAGGATGTGTCCAGTCTCCTGGACATTTCCTGGACATTGGGGCACATTTTAGGAGGGTACCAGGAGGTCATTCCTTAGGAGGGATGGCTGAAAGGTGTGCCGCTGGGGATGGGCATGCCTCAGAGACTGTCTTTGGCTTTTTGGGGATTGGCTGGTGGAGAGCCTATGCAGCCGCACTTGCCACCTCTGGGACCAATGCATAGAAATGACCCAGGGCTCATCTCAGCCTAAGGAAGAGGTGTCTACTAAGGAAATCTGGCCTCCAGCTACAGCGGTGACCCCATGGCATAATGTTTAAGAAGAGGGAGTGCTGTCTAGATAACTCAGTTGGTTAGAGCGTGGTGCTTATAACACCAAGGTCTAATGTTCCATACATGTACTGGCCCAGCCACCAAACCAAAGGGGGGGGGGCTGTAGAGTGAACAGATGATTCCTGCATTAAATGGCAGGTTCAACCAATTGTCAGAAGGATCCTGTAGGCCCTAAACTCTTATTCCCTCAGGATGAAAGGGCAGAGACATTTCTTTCCCCAACATTGGATCCTAAAAGAGAAGACAGATCAGCACATGTTGCTGCCTTCACTGCTTGGGGGTAGGGAGACCATCAGGCCAGTGATGGGTTCTAGGATGCAGAGGTGTTTATCTCTGTTCTGGGAGCACATCTTGCAAAGGTAACCACAAACAGGAACACGTCTCTGACAGATGGAATGGTAGGGAGGGGATGTTTTAAAGTGAGAAGCTTTAGAATATGCCCTTGGTGTGGAGTGAGCGAGAGGAAGGCATGAAGGGGGCATGTTGCTGGGTAGGAGGATGGATGGGAGGCTCTCAGGGCTACTGCTAGCTCTGGGAAACCTACAGGCCTGGCGCCTCAGAGTCCCTTCCTCTAGGGAGAGCCCTTTGCCGATACCATACCAACGGGTTCGTGTGCACCTCTGGGGAGCCGGTGGGGGTGGGGAGGGTGCTGAGCCTAGGCTGGGGCTCCCAGTTCACTTCCCTGCCGCTCTTCTCCCTGCAGTTCTGACTGCCAGCCAGATTGCTGTGAGACGGCAAGGGTGAGTTGGGGGCCAGGCCAGGGCTTGGGGGTGTAGAGCTAAGCTTGGTGCTTTTTAATGTTGATGGGACTCTTCCCTCAGACCACTCTGGCCACTCGTCATAGAGGGGGCTGGCAAGAGAGGTGGCTCAGAGTACCCCAGCCCCGGATCCTGCTGGTGTGTCTGGTATGGATACTCTAATGGGTGCTGGACCCACATGGTGGTGGTACATCGCTGTTCTCTCCCCTTGGTCCTGAGCCCTGGGGCCTGCTTGGAATGAAGGGAGAAGGGACTCTTGCTAGGGTTGGGACTCTGGGCCCAGGATTCTCCACCTTTTGGTATCTTCACCATGTCCGTAGAAGCAGAACAGTGCTGAGAAGTTCAGGTGGGGATGGGATTTTTTTACCTCCCCCTCCCTCCATCTCTAGGTGGTGGGGATGAGACTGAAAATCCACCCTTGAATGGGAAGTTATTGCAGGGGAGAAACAGGGTCATGAGAATCTCTAGAAGCTGGATTCTTATGAGAAACCCATGAGTTTGGGACCTGGATGTGACCTGCCAGTGAGGCCGACCTCCCCCCTCCTCCAGCTGTCTCTGGAATCACCTTTGCCTCTGGTTGCACTGGACTCCTTCCCATCGTCTGCCATGGTGTTTGCTGACAGCTGACCCTGCCTCGGCTTGGCTCTGTGTGTGGGCCTGCCCCGTCTGGGCCTGGGGTTCCAGAAGAATTCTGGCAAGCTCCAGACAGCTAGGCCTCTTTCCACAGGTGCCCCTCCTACCCCAACCTGCATTCCTTATGGGCAGGCCAGCAGAGCCTGGCCTCTGCTACCTCAGTCAGGACTCACCACCCACATTTCCTATGGCAGAAGCTGGCTGAGAGGAGGAGATGGATATAGGAGTTTCCCCAGGATGTTTCCGCAGGGAGGCGGTCAAGAAATAGGGGTCTTGGGAGCTTAGAGTGTCTCACAAGTCTGACTTATAAGAGAGGTGAGGTGAGGGGGGCACCATCTGCTGGGTGCTACTGTGTGGACTCCTGACAGTGGACATCCTCAGCGAATGTCCTCAGCAGGTGTCTCGTTGTCCTAAGCCACTTAAGGCTGCTCCTTGAAGAATTAAGAAGGGCAGGTTCTCTTTGACTGACACCTGTCATGCCTGATGACAGCGCCATCATTACCTCCTGTTGCTTTTTTTTTTTTTCCCCCAAAGATGAACGGTACCCCCAAAGATGACCGGTAAGGGGATCTTAACCCTTGACTTGGTGTTGTCAGCACCATGCTCTTCAATCCCCCAAAGATGAACGGTAAGGGGATCTTAACCCTTGACTTGGTGTTGTCAGCACCATGCTCTTCAAGTGAGCTAACCAGCCATCCTTATATAGGGATCCGAACCTGTGGTGTTATCAGCACCACACCCTCCCAAGTGAGCCACGGGCTGGCCCATTACCTCCTGTTTCTACAAGGGATTAGTGGAACCCAGTCTGTTCAGGAGTCAGAATTCCAGATGCCCTGCTAGGTTCTCTTAGTGGGGCTTTGTTCAGCTTGGAGGGATGTTTTTTCATCTCCTCCAAGCCAGCTGGTATTTTCTTCGGTCTCAGTTCTAAAAGGGATGCACAGTGCTTTGGGATTAGTTTTGCAAGCGTAAATCTGAGGTTGAGTAGAACCTTCAGCATGGGATAGTGGAAAGAACACCTGGTTTAGGTATGGATCCCGCGTGTAAAATGGGATTATTGCTCTCGTGGGTTGGTGTGAGGATTTCTCTCTCCTTGGGTGATGTCTAACAATGTTATGTGTTGGGGTCTTCCCTCTGTCCCCTGGCCCAGTGTGTGTGTGTTGCAGCCCCTCTTCCCAAGGCGGGGGGTGGGGCGTGGTGTTCAGCAGGGGCCTTTCCAGTCTTGGCATTAACCAGGAGGCTCACGGTTTTGTCTCCCTCCACAGCCTGGACGTGTCTCCTCAGGTAGAATCTGACCCAGCTGCTCTTCCTCACCACCTCCCCTCCTCCCCCTGGGCTCCGGCCCCCCCCACTCCTGCTCCCACCGCTGCTCCCATGCTAAGCATTAACCTTTTTGCAGCCGCCTCCCCCACTGCTGCCACTGCTGCTGCCACCACCGCCACCCCTGAAGCCACCCCATCTGGATTCATGGGTATTACCAACCCGTTCCTCACCTCCTTGCAGAACAACCCCTTCTTCGAGGAGCTCGTAGCCGACATAGCACTAAACTCTCCTTCACCTGCTCCCTCTCTCCCCAGTGCCTCGAGGGCCAGCCCCACCCCCTGGGCCTCCCCTGGGAAAGCCCTGCCTGAGTGGGACGACACCTTCAACGTCTTTGCTGCTGGCAGGCTACATCCAGAGGCCAGAAGCGAGATCCTGGCCTGTGCAGGAGTGGGGCTGGAGGTGGCTGGGCTGCAAGACCCTGGCCCTCAGGCTGTGACAGTGAAGGCAGCTGAACCTCAGGGAGACCGTGGGGGCGGAGGAGGAAAAGGTGGGAGCAGCGTGTGGCTGGAGCCCAGGGTTCCTCTGGACTTGGGACTGGACCATGAGAACACGAGTGCAGCTGATCTGGGGACCCTCGGGTCGTTTGGGGCCAGCCTGCCCTCCATGTCAGCCCGGCTGCACCTAAGAGCCTCAGCCTCAGAATCAGACAGGGAGCCACTGGCTCCAGAAGGGGAAGCAGGGCAGAGTCCAGCAGACAGTGGGACGTCTCTGTTTAGCTCCCCAGAAGTGATCAGTGTGTGGGAGAGGCTACCCGGCCCAGACAATGCTGCTGAAGGCCAGGACAAGGAGGCCTCCCAAGGTGAAAGCCAGCTTTTCCATGAGCTCAATACAGTCGACGATTCCTGGCCTTGGGATGTGGTCATCATTTCTCCTGCAGCTGAGATGGCCTCACCAGTGGAGCTGCCTCCTCCCCGGGTACAGCCAGAATCACCAGAAACTGTGAGCCCCAAGGGGAGTGAGGGGCTTCCCCCACTGGACCTAGAGCCAGAGCCTAAACCCAAGTGGGTGTCGGATGAGGGGCCTCAGCCCAGCACGCCACCTCCCAAGCCACCACGCCTCTTCACACCCTCAAGTTCCCAGGACAAGGAGGCGGAGGAAGAGAAGGCTGCAGGGGGGCTGAGTAGCAGCGGGGCAGGGACAGGAGAAGAAGATGCCTCCCGAAGTGCACTGATTGTTGGTCCCCAGGAGAGCAAGGAGGAGGGAGAGAAGCCTGAGTCGGACCGCAGTACTTCTGACCGCAGTACTTCTGGAACCCTGCTGGGTGAGCCAGGCCTGGAAGATCTAGTGGAGGATGCCATCCCCCCTGTGTCTGGGCCCTGCTTATCTGTGCCCACCAGCTGCACTGAGGATCCCACCCCTGTACCCTGTTACTCAGAGAGCTTGGCTCCTGAGAGTGAGCAGATCTGTGGGGCTCCAGAGAGAAGAGAAGGCCCTGAAGCTCCTGAGGAGGCCCAGAGCCAGGGTCCAGTAGGAGAGGGGCTTGGGCCCCTGTCAGTCACCTCCCAGCAGGCTGATCTGTGGGCCTCTGAGGAGAATGCCTTGGGCCCCTTCTTGTCTCAGGGCAACGAAGATTCCCCCAAAGATCCCCCCAACCTCCCATCCACATCCCCGCCAGGGTCCAGGGAATCTTCCATCCATTCTGGTCCAGAAGAGCTGCCCACCCCCCCAGAGCCTGCCTTCCCACCGCCCCCTCTCCCGCCCTGGGCCAGCTACCATCATGGGGGGCCCAGCCCTCCATGCTCTCCCTTGCCTGGAGCCTGGCCCCCGACCTCTTCCTCCCCAACCCCAGAGGAGTTGGCCTCACCTCCTGGCCCCTTTGAGCCCTCCCCACCTGGGGGCTCCCCTGCCCCACGCGGGGAGGACAGCGCTGCAGCCACCCCAGCCTCCCCGCTTGTGCTTCTGCCCTTGGAGACACGACCAGCTGAGGAGTCACAGTCCAGTGCCAGGTGAGCGTCCACCCTGAGAACACTTTCTGGGAGGAAGCGGGTAGAGAGGGGCAAAGCAGCCCAGGAGCTTCATCCTTTCCAAGGGCAGGTGGGGGCTTTGAAGACCTGAGCTTTCTGTGGTACCAGCTCTGAAGCTGCCTGATTCTTGGGACCTTGGACAGTCTGGGTGCCCCCACAAGTCAGAGGTTTGGGGAATGACATTGAGGAGGTACAGGGGTGAGGAGTGAAGTAGGGGAGAGCCAATATGGGCTGGCAGGGGAAGGGGGATGAGAGCTGTGCCCAGGCCCTTCCAGAGCTCTGCACTCAGCTGCAAGGGAGCTGTGGGTGGGGAGTGCAGCTTGTCCAGCAGGGGCCAGGGCTTGGGGCAGGCCCTGGGAGAGCAGGCTGGCAGTGGAGCCCGGAGAGGAGACCGGGTGAGGGAGCAGGCTGGGCAGGGCGTATAGCCAGAGGAGGGACCAGGATTTAGGTCAGAGAGAAAGCTGGAGATGCCTTCAGAGGAAAAAAAGAAAAACTAAAATGCTTTCCACACGTGTGACCCTCAGAACAAAGGTTCTCTAGTCCCAGCAGGTGTTTCATTGGTCTGCCTTTTCATTGGTTTTTTGCCTTTCATGGGGTGGTTCCTGTACATTTAGGACTGCTGAGTGGACAGCAGATGACTATGTGACTGTGGTCACTATGGCATCGGTCTGTTTGGAAGAATTATGAGGTTGCAATTTACCAGGTGGCTGGCGAGGGGTAACGAGAGAGTAGATGTGAATACTTAGGGCACTGGGATATGACTTAGTCTCTCTCCCCTGTGCCTTAGACTCTGGGCACTGGGAGGTGATGGGTGTGTCTTCGCCAGGGCAGCAAGTCCAGAGGAACGTTTGTGCTCTGGAGTCCTGAGGGAAGAGGAGGGGGGAGAGCAGAGGGGCCACCACCTCTGATGAGCAGGACAGGCTCCAGTACTGGCCTCCAGGAGGCCCTCACCCTGCTCGGGCATTTGCTAGCTGTGCATTTGGGTATCCAAATTCACTGAGCATCTCCTATGCATCAGACACTGAACAGAGATGAAAGACACTGTGCCCACTGTATTCCCAAAGAATTCTCAGCCCAGTAAGGAAGACAGAGTGGACCCAAGAAGGGAAGCCCCAGGGGCCAGTGCTGATACGTGAGAAGCAAATAGGCGGAGTCCGGGCTGCTCCCAGCTTTCTCTCCCAGTGGTAGGTGGTGATGCCGCTCCCCTGAGAAGAGGGAGAAGATGTGGGGGAGCTGGTGGTCATGGTTCCCTTGCTCCATGGTTACAGCATCCCCAGCTGGCCCTGCTGTCTGTCTTCCAGTAAAACCTCAAGTTCTACTCACCACTTTTTGTACGTTTTGTTCTTCCCATAGTTGACCTCATGTCTGTACTTGGCATGTTCCTTACATTATGAAGTGGGTGGGCCACATAGAGCTGTTCCCATTTCTCAGATGAGGAAATGGAGTCCATGACAGCTGCAGGGTCTAGGGTCCATCAGATATAGGGGGGCAATCAGACCAAGAGCCCAGGCCTTCTGGCCCCTCATTCAAGTTGCTTTTATGCCATGCTGGTCATCATCCTCCCTTTCCCGGTCACAGCCCATAGGAGGCATTAGAGCTGCTTTTATGCCACCATCCCTGGTGCAGACTCCTAGGTGGCAGGAAAGGACCGAGAAACATTCTTTTCCCTTCTGTCTGCCCCATGCCTGAGTGCTGTTCCCCTTTTTTGCATTTGTGAGTGAATTCACAGTCCTATCCTGAGTAACGGAGCTGGCCTCTCTGGGTCTGGGTGAGCCTTCCTTGAGCAGAGTTCAGGGCCTTATACTAAGCTATTTTGCTTCCTACTCCTGAATGGTCTAAATCTTCTGTGAAATAAGAGTAAATTTGTAAGAGGCCCTGCAGGGGCAGGTTAGTTGATTTGGGGACCTGATGCTTACAATTTATGTAGATGTTACAGGTATAGGGTGCTGGGGAATCCTAGAGCAGGGTCATTGTAGTCAGCCTGGGGAAATCAGGAAGGCTTTCTGGAGGAGGTGGCCTTGCACAGCTTTGAAACATGAGTAGGAATTAGCAGGCCAGTGGGAGGAAGGGGCAGTGTTCTGGACAGAGGAATAGCCTTTGTAAGAGCCTGAAGATATGTTTCCACTGTGGGCTGTGAGGAAAGGGCAGGGCCAAACTGTGTTAGAGATTGTGTCTTACCTTGCTGGGAGCCATTAAGGATCTTTAAGCATTGGGAAGGCTGAGATTATTATCCTGCAGCGGAATGGAAGAATGGTTGGAGGTGGGCAAGGCTACAATTGAGGAGCTGACTTAGGCTGTGGCTGAAATTAGCTAGCACAGGCCTGGAGAGGAGAGGACAGTTTGAGAGAAGGTGGGAAGGTAGCAGGACTTGAATGTTTAGGCCGAGGCTGAAGGGGAAGAGTCAGAGGGACTCCCTGAGAGGTGCTGCTCATTGCCAGGGGAGCCCAGAGGAAAGGGCAGATGTGGAGGGGGGAGTGTGATGTACCCAAGCGGAGCGAGCAGCCTGCAGCTGTCTCTGCAGGTCCAGAGCCTGGGGTGAGGTCTGGGCTGGAGATGGAGGTTGGGGGTGGTGTATTGCCAGGGGAGCCCAGAGGAAAGGGCAGATGTGGAGGGGGGAGTGTGATGTACCCAAGCGGAGCGAGCAGCCTGCAGTTGTCTCTGCAGGTCCAGAGCCTGGGGTGAGGTCTGGGCTGGAGATGGAGGTTGGGGGTGGTGGAACCAAGGAGAAGGAGAGGAGAGACCCCCAGGGCAGACTAGCAATTACAACTGAGAAGGCTGTCCAAAAACCAGATGGAGGTCTTGGAGGAAACGGGGAGAAGGAGGGTGGCCCAAAGGAAGGAGTGGTCCAAGTGTGGGGGCCATGGAGGGGTTGGTGAGGTGAGAACCGCCATGGGTTGGTAATCTTAGCAAGTACACTTGTGGGCAGTGGGGGCGATGTCCATTCTAATGGGTTGAGGAGTCAATGAAAGGTAAGAAATTAGAGGCAGAATGTAGTCAACATGTTCTGGAAAGGCTCTGGTGAGAAGGAAGAAGGAGGGCTGACTGAGGGGGCTAGCTAGAGCAAACACAAGGTCAAGGGAGGGTTCGCAGGCCCGTCTAAATGCAGATGGGAAGCAACCAGTAGAGAGGCTGGTGACCGAGCATCCCAATTTGCCCAGGTCTTTCCTGGTTTTAGCACTGAAAGTCAATCCTCACAGTCCTCAGAAAACTGGAAAACTGGGAGGGTTGGTCTCCCCCCTAGAGAAAGGTTACAGTATAGAAGAGCGGGGAGGGAGGATGGCTGGAGGGGGACATCCCTGGCAAAGACTGGTCAGGTGCAGAGAAGTTTGCAGGATGGCCTCTACTGTCCCTGTGAAGGGGCTAGTTCATCAGGTCAGAGGGAGTGGAATGGGAAAGGGGTGGCAGGGCGGGTTTGAGGAGAGCAGAGAAGTATGCTGTGGAGTGCTGGATGCAGCTGCCTGTGACCTTGACAGTGTAGGGGCAGCCACCATCAAGTGGTGGGTTTTCTGTCCAGCAGACCTGAGGCTCCGCTGAGAAGGTGGCCTCACCTTTGACTTGTGCTACCCTTCTGTCCCATAACCCATCTCCTGTATGTCTTTACAGTCCCCACCCCGTAAAGCCCCTCAGTACCACCTCCGTGGAGGGCAGCCCCGACAGGAAGCAGCCCCGCTCCAGTCTGAGCACAGCCCTGAGCAGTGGGCTGGAGAAGCTGAAAACAGTCACATCTGGCAGCATCCAACCTGTGGCTCTGGCACCCCAGATTGGCCAGACCGTGGACACCAAGAGGCTGAAGGTGAGGCCCAGCAGAGTGCCAGGGGCATATGACAGATAGGTGTTGCTGTGGGGTGAGGTCAGGAGTCACAGGGCAGGGTGCTGGGGAGAGCAAAGCAGGCTGGGTCCTCTGTGCCAGAGTCCTGAAGCCAGTTAGGCTGCCTCTGGCACTGGAGACAGAGGCAGCTCCAGGGGCCTGTGGTAGTGAAACTGGGGTGTTGGGGAGCAGGTAGGCCTGGGGCTGCCCTGCTCACTCTCATTCTGTCTGGCCTCAGGACTCAGCTGGGCTGGACCAGTCGGCCAAGTACTACCACCTGACCCACGACGAGCTCATTGGTCTGCTCCTGCAGCGGGAGCGGGAGCTGAGCCAGCGTGACGAGCACGTGCAGGAGCTAGAGAGCTACATCGACCGGCTGCTGGTGCGCATCATGGAGACCTCACCCACACTGCTGCAGATCCCCCCCAGTCCCCCCAAGTAGTCCTCCTCACCCCAGCCCCAGGGGGTTGGCATGGACCTGCTGCTTAGACAGGGCTCGTGCCCACCCACCCTCCCTCCTACCGAACTCATTCTCACTTGGGCAGGGCGCAGTCTGTCCTCTGTGGTGCTCCTTGCCCCCCTCTCTCCTGCCTTTCCTGAGGCTGCTGGAAGTGGGCCCTTTGGGCTCCCACTGGAGGCATCAGGTTCCATGTGCAACTTGCGTGTCTTTGTGAGACCTGAGTCTTTCCTACCTGTCTGTTTTCATACCCCTTAGCTTTGGGGGCTCCAGGGAATTGGAACACGGAATTTAACTCTCAAGACAGGGTAGGGATGAGCTGCAGGTTGATGTGGTACCTGGGGTGAGACTGGTTGCTAGCACATGCTTTATTGTTCCCCAAGGATGGGCAGCCATTTCTTCCCATGGCCAAACCCCCATCCTCTTTGTTTCCCTCCAGCCCCTGGAGGGGCTCCTCGTATTACTGAGACTAGGACAGGGACCAAGCAGCCCTTTTGTCTGTGAGTTATGGGCAAGCAGGGCGCCTACTCCTCAGCCTCACACCCATCCATCCCCCTGAGGGCAAGGAGCCTGTGTGGTCTAGTCCAGTCTCTGCCGTGTCTTGAGTCTGTTTTCATCTTATGCAGTGTGAACGGAGGTGGATGATGTCTGCTCTCCAGGCTGCTCCCTGCCATCCCCCACCCCACTGACCTTTCCACTGAGTGTCAAGTGTGAATGTGGGGAGGTGAGGGGTGGGTGGGGGGAGAGCTCCTGTTTGCTCTTTGAGTTCTCACCCACCTCCAATGTGTGGACCCCTCCAGGTCGGGACTTTGGGCTACTTGTGTGTTTGAGATCAGCCTCCATGTCTGTTCGTGTTGCCTGTCCAGATGCCAAACTCTGTGCCTCCACAGGGTTTGAACTTTTGGAAACCAATTAAAATGTGGGGACTTTGGGCTACTTGTGTGTTTGAGATCAGCCTCCATGTCTGTTCGTGTTGCTTGTCCAGATGCCAAACTCTGTGCCTCCACAGGGTTTGAACTTTTGGAAACCAATTAAAATGTGCCTTTTGTGGGTGGGGTCAAGAGCCTCTGGCTGTAAGACCTTTCCCCCTGTGTGGCGTCCCTCTGCATTCTGTTGAGCACATGGGGATGGTTCTGTCAGGGCCTTGGGAATGGTAATGGAGGGTGGGGGCAGCCCTGCTGCTCTTCCCCTCCCTTAGCATTAATCTCAGTTAAGGGTTGGGCCAAGCTGATGTTACCAAAACCTTCCTGCCATCTTCCCCTCCTCCCTCAACCCCAGTTGGAGGCTCCTAGGTTAAAAACTACTGGTGGGCAGGTAGGGGTGGCGCTGCCTTGCTCACTGTCATTCTGTCTGGCCTTAGGACTCAGCTGTGTTGGACCAGTCAGCTGGACTGGAAGTGGGAGGTCCCACTATGCCTTTGGGAAACACCTATACTTAGGAAAAAGGCTTTGTTGCCCTCCCATCCACCCACTAAGCTGCTCTCTCAGCCTGTCCCTTCTGCTCCATGGCCTTGTCTGGCTTGGCTGCAGTGCACTTTGAAATGAAGTGTCTGTCCTTTGGCCCAGCCACTGGTTTGCTTGTAGAAAACACAGCAGGCTTCCCTATGGCATCTGTAGGGAGCCTTTGTTGGCTTGGGCATCCTTGTGTTAACAAAAGTTGGGGGGTGAGGATGTGCTGAAGGAGGATACTTTTGGCTCAGGAAGGAGACAGGACCTCTTCTGGGACCACCTCTTTGTGAGAGCCTGTAGGCTCTCTTGGAAGGCCTCAGGAGGAGCTGTGTGGGTGATGATACCTGTCTTCTGCCAGGATGGAGTAGAGGAGCCTACATGTGGGGGAAAGCCCCTGTGAAGTTACCAACCTTAAAGTCTACTCGTCAAAGCTGAGAAAAGTTTCCACAGGTGCCCAGAACTTCAGTCGTTTTCTGGGGATCATTGGGGTTGGAGAGGTATCTCTTCTGAGAGAGGGGATCACTCCCCTACTAGGTGTTCATTGGGGTTCTGTTCCCAGTCCTGGCCCTGATCTTCCACTCATCCTTGATTACGGGCCTGCCAAATGCCCAGAGCAGGGATGTCTTTGGAGGAATGTTTGGATTGAAGCCCAAGGTTCTTGTTTGATGTTTCTGCTCCCGGCAATGAGTTGGAGGAGAGCTGCAGGAGGGGTGGGCAGGGAGCAGGCACAGGTCTGCTTTGCTGTTTGTCTTCCTAGTTGTAACTCCCGTTTATAATGAGCTTGTTCTTCATGTTTTGAGCACTTTATGAAGAATAAAAAGTTCACGTACTGCAGGTGGCTCTGTTGTGTTCCTGATTTGGAAATAGTATGTGAAGGAGGCTGCCTGTGGGAGAAAGTGGCTTTCAATCAAGGTTGATGGAATTCTCGGGTGACACTCTTCCTGTCCCTGTCCCAACATCAGTGTTGCCTGGTGGTCTGGACTCAGTCTTTTCTCACTCCCAGGATACCCACATTATTGGGCACCTGTTATGGGCACATTTATTGGGTACTGTGGGGGAACACAGAGGGTAAAACACAGAGGTCTAGTAGGGGAAGATAAGATACAAATTGTTCCTCATGGCTAGCTGAATCTCCAGCTTTAGGAAAAGTCTGTTTCTTGTGGCTCAACCATTAGTGGATGAGGAACTCTGCTACAGCTGATGCAGTGTTCAGAAAGACTTGGACAGGCTCAAACCAACACTGCACCTCACCGTGAGACCGAAGAGACCCAAAGTGGGGTTCCCTAGGGTCAAGACCAAGTGAAACAGGCAGCCCCCCCTTCCTTCCCCAGTTGGCTCATTGACCAGATAATTCAGCTGGGAATCTTCAGCTATTCCACTTCACAGGTGTGTTTATTATCTATGAATGTGCTTGCTCTGCAATCTGCGGTACTCCCCCTTACCCAAAGTTCTTGTAGCTGGTGCTTGATAAATACTATGAACTCCCCCCTGCCCCGCTCCCTTCTCTTCCTCCCAGAAATTAGGCCCTGGAGGATCTTCCTTAGTTAGGATCAAGGAAGTGGAGTCTGCAAGGGCTTTTAAGCTCTCCACTGTTTAGTTCACAGCCAACAGATGAGGGTACTTCAAAAAGTTCGTGGAAAAGTGGAATTAAAATATAAATCTTTCCATGAACTTTTGAAGAACCGTTGTATCTTATTTGAGTTCCTACGGTGAGCCCTCCTATGCCTGCCACTGTGGACTTAGCAGTGAATCAAAAGGTCACAGCCCCTGCCCAGTATACTTTACAGTAGAAAAGACCATAATATAATTATTTAATTATAAATGCAAAGGCAAAAAAAGAAAAGTGCTGGGTGGTATAGGAGCATGTAGCGGTTTGTGGAAGTAGGGTGACAGATCGGGAAATGCAGTGTTTAGGTTGAGGCCAGAAAGAGCCAGCATCAGGCGAAGATAAAGTCTTCTGGTTACAGAATGTTCAAGGGCCTGGGGCGGCCAGTGCCTAGCAAGCTCCAGGCACTGAATGTCAGGGAGGCTGGAGAGCACAGGGCGAGGAGACAGGGTGGCGACAGAAGAAACTGCGTGAAGGTGCCGCAGTGCAATTCCTTGCAGAAAGCATAGATTAACGCTACTTCGCCTGGAGTCGTTGCCCATCTGGTCCCGGGTCGGGCCCGCTTGAGAAGGGCTCTTCTCCTGGGCTGCCGCTGTAGGAGCGATGCCTACGGCAGCAACTCAAACTTCTGGGGGCAGGTAAGCAGTGACGGGTCGCCCTGTGGCCTCCTGTTGCGACCTCAGAGTTGTGCGTGCACATCCTTCTCGGACTGTCGACCTCTGCAACACTGGTGGCGAGACCGAGACCGGGTGTGTGCGGGTGCAACTCTCCGCAGTCTGGGGTTGTCAAGCTTCGTGGCGAGAAAAACTACACTCCCCACAAGACCTTGCGCTTCCTGTTCGCTGCGGTTGCTTATGGCCAATCGGGAGAGGCAGCTGTGGCGGGGGCCGAGGAGGGACATTTTAAAAGGGCCGGAGATTGCGGGCGTCAGTGGCCATGGCGGATACAGCGACTACAGCATCGGCGGCGGCGGCTAGTACCGCGAATGCCTCGACCGATGCACCTCCTTTCCAGCTGGGCAAACCCCGCTTCCAGCAGGTGAGGACATTGCTGTGGCCTGTGGGCCGGCGGGTAGCACAGGGAGGGCAAGCAAACTCCTCTCCAAAGTCCCCTTCAGCCCCAGGTCTCCGACCTGCGGCCACCGCATCCTGCAGCTAGTGCCTCGGAGACCTCGGCCACAGCCGCCCCTTTCCCATTGGTCAGTGGGGCGGGCGAGGACTCCCTCCTTGGCTCTCTATTGGCCGTTGGCGCCATCACTCCCCATCTGCCCGCGCCCTCCAGCCTTTCCCTCCCTAGACGTTCTGTGATTGGCCACCGCCGGCCGCCGGGGCTCCGGGGCTCCCGGGCTCCCGGGTCCGAGCAGCTCTTGTGGAGTCGCTCTGGGCTGTGCAGCCGCCGCTCCGGACGCGAAGTTCGAGCCAGGCCGTGGATGAGAAGTTGGTGCGCCCGGATGTCTTCTAACTTTTTCCCCGGGTGGGGACTGGCATTTCTTCCGAGCTGCTGGCGGAGCCGCCGGAGCGTCCACGTTCCGCGGTCACGTTCCCAGCCCTCGACCCCAGGCGGGTTCCGCGTTGCGCGGCGGGGTAGGGCCACGTGCCGAGGGGTGCGGCCGAAGGGCGACCCCGGACCCCCGGCTGAGGATTCGCTGACGCAGCGAGTCGGCCGGCAGGTGCCCTGCGGAGATGGAGCTAGGACGTGCGGGGAGAGCCGGGGTGAGGAGGAAATGCTGTGTCATCCCCGGGGGCCACCGCCCCTCGGAACGTTGCGGCCCCGGGAGCCCTCCCACCTCCTCCCTCGCTGCGCCCTCCGCGAGGGTCTACCGCACCCGGGTCTCGGAGCCAACGAGCGCTCGGCTCTGTCCAGACCTGCACGGGCTATTCGGGGCACGGTGACGGTGGTCCTTTTCCTCCGGGACCCCCGCCTGGGCATCGCTAACTCGGCCCTTGGCCACGGAGACGGGAATAGAACCCGCAGCTTAGACGGGGTCTTGCCAGGCCTGGGGGCCGGGAGTCTGGAAGGGGCTGTTCCCACGCCGCGGACCTTCGGGTCCCCGCTGCCTCCAGCGCTGAAGAAATGGACTTTATTAGCAAAAAGTCAACGAGACTCCAGACTCCCGGACGAAGTGAACCGGGGCTTGCCGGGGGTGGGTGGATGAGGGATGGGGGTGACAGCGGAGGCGGCCAGAAAGAACTTTTCAGGAAGAAAAGAATTTGTACAAAGGTCGGTGCAGTGGCTTTTTTTTTTTTTTTTTTTTTTCTGTCGTGGTGGTGGAATGGGGACTGGGTTCCAGCAAGGGGTGCTCTGAGCTTCGCTGATAATTAAGGAGCTGAGTTCCAGAGACTTCCGAGAGAATGTCCCCGATGTTTTTAAACAGGACTTTAATTCCTTTTAAAAATAGACCATCTCAGTATGTAGGTATCTGAGGTGAGACTGGCATCTTCCTACCAGTGTAGGATGCTACCTAGGGCAAGACTATCAGGGATGCTTCTGCCTGGACTTGAGTGACCCTTCAATACCTGGCCTCCTACCCCCAACCCCATCCTCCATCCCCGCTCCGCTCGCGCGCGGACTCTCTCTCTCTCTCTCTCTCTCTCTCTCTCTCTCTCTCTCTCTCTCTCTCTCTCTCCCCCCCCCCCCCTCTCTCTCCCCTCATCCTTCAAGGCAGTCAGGCCTGCCTCCTCTGGAAAACACCTGCTGTCTTCTCTAGTGCCATTACCTCTCTGATCAGGTCGCTGACTCCCTCCTGCATGGCTCTTTGGCCACCCCAAATGGGATCCTCGTAGCTCAACCTTTCCATACAATCTGCCCCGTGGTCTCCTAACTGTGTGCTGCGTGGTAGGTCGTTCTCCTCAAACCCTGTATAGGCCTTTTGAGAGAAGGGACTGATGTCTCAGTTTTACCCTGACACCGAGTTAGGCTAATAAGCTGAGTAAAGATTTGTGGGGTTTTTTTTTTGTTGTTTATTTTTTTCCTGGTGTCTGTTTTGTGTGTGTGGCACTTGGGACATTCAGTCACCCAACAGACATTTATTGAGTACCTCCTAGTGGCTTTGATAACTGAGCCCTTTTGATAACACCAAGGTCCAGGCTTCAATCCTTGTATTGGCCAGCCACTAAAAAAAGAAAAACAAAAAACAACTGCAGGAGCCATAGATGTGCATTTGAGGCTACTCCATTCCTGCAGCCATTGCTGGTACCCCTTTTTGGCACTACTCTTGAAGGCAGTAAAGGTGTGTGTTGTATTTGCTGTTGAGGCTCCCTTCCTCCAGCATAGTGACCTGCATAAAGCACAGTACATGTGATTCATCCATGTTAACGAACTTTAATCCAGAGCCGCTCCTCCCACACCACTCCCTGCCTCTGCAGGCAGCCTAATTTGCCACGCAATTGCTGGAGTCAGATATCTGGGAGTCACCTATATATTTCTGTTTCTCTCCCTTCACCCTCTAAGTACAACCAGGCTGCCAGTAATCTCACCTCTTAAACAGCTCTCATATCCATCCATCTCCTCTGCCAGAATCCTAGACCAAGCCCCTATCCTCTGTTTCGTGGGCCACTGCAGAAGCCTCCAGACAGGTCTCCCTGCTTCCACAAGGGCCTTCTTCCAATCCAATGCAGGTCTGATCCAGTGACTCCCCAGCCCCCTACACACTTAAATATCCTCCAGTGGCTTCCCCTACTTCTGAGGTAAAGACCTCACTTCTGGAGAGGCCCCAAAGATCTGCATGGCCCACCTTTGCTGACTTTTTCTTTGAATTGCACCACTCAGTCATCCATCTCACCCTCCTTCCCACCACACTTGCTGCTCTTCAGCCTGTGAACCTACTGTCTTCCCTCCCACCTCTACCCCATCTGCCTGGAACATCACCTTTTCCTATGCCCCCAACTCTTATCACCACTCTTCTTCATTCCTGATGTGTCCATGAAGCATCACTTCCTTGGGGAAGCCTCCTCCCACCTCTCAGTTGAGTTTGTGACTGTGCTTCCCTACTGCAAAGCACCCATATCAGTGTATACATTGATTTGGAGTAATTATTTTATTGCCATCTGTCTCCCCCTTTTGACTATAGGCTCCATGGAAGCAGGAACTGTGCCTGCCTTCACTCCCTGTTGGCTTTCCAGGGCTCAGCACCTGGAAAGTACCTGGCACTTAAGAGGTGCTTAATAAGGATTTGTTGAATAAATGAATATGCTGCAGACACTTCAGTAGGTCTTTGTGGACTTAAATTGATTTACAAAGTTGTGATTGGAGAGGTGGGCCAACTTTTCTTCCAGTTGTCCCTTAGGGATCTTGTAAAATTGCAACCAAGTGAGATTGTGTTTGACAGCGTAAGATTCTTCAGCCCCAAGACACCCCAGAGTGGGTGGTCTCTAAGGAGGTGAGTCAAAAGGCACAGAGGTCTGCCATGTATGTATTGGGTCCACAGGCTCTTTCAGGGCCCAGCCCATATCTCTATCTGGGTCCTGTCTTCAGTGTTTGGCATGCAATAGGTGTCCAGTGAAGGCTCATAGCGTCCTGTGCTGGCCTGACAGAAGCCTGCTTCGGGGTGGTTCATAATACAGGGGGCATTCCCAGAGCCCCACACCTGAGGCACCGCTCTTGTCCCCCAACTAATCTCCCACTTTCTGCAGGACTAGGCACCAGTGTCTTTCCTTACTCCCTGGAGTCACCCCTGAACTCCTCTTCTTTTCCTCCCTAAAGGTTCTCCCCATGCAAGAGGGCAGGGGGAAGAAGAACACTGAGCAGGGTCAGAGGGTGGAGAAAGGGTGATGGGCTTTGGTCTGTGACCATTTTTCTGCCCATAAGATGATGACAACAGCTAAGCCTTGTTCCAAACTTTTTGCATATTGACTTAATTTTTCACAACAACCATACGAGGGAGGTACAGTGATCTCCAGTTTGTAGGTGAGAAAATGACAGCACACAAACAGGTTAACTTGCTAGGAAGTCTAGCTTCAGAGTCCATGTTTGTATATTGTCAATTTTTTAATTTTGGCGGTTTTCAAACATACAAAAGTGGAGACAGTCATCCGAACCCTTACACCCCCATCACTCAGCTTCAACAGTTACCAACTTCAGGCCAGGCTTGTTTCATCTCTACACCCCCCACCCCCAACCAATGAATTATTTTAAAGCAATGCCCAAACATCCCATCATTTCATTTTACCTACTAGGTATCTAAAAAATAAGGACTGTTTTGGTTAGTTGGTTTTTTTTGTTTGTTTTTAACTTCTCAATATACATTGTATTTGATTTTCGTATCTCTTTACCTGTTCCTCTTTTCCCCTTCCCCCTCTCCCCTCCCCCTCTAACTACATCATATCTGTTTAGTTTTTTTTTTTAAACAAACTTTGTTCTGGCATATAACTTTAGATTTATAGAAGTTAAACAGACAACAGAGAATTTCTACATAACTCTCACCCAGTGTCCCCTAATATTATTATCTCACATTAACATCATACATTTGTCAAAACTAAAAAAACAACATTGGTACTTTACTATTGACTACACTCCTGACTTAACTGGATTTCACTATTTTTTACATTAATTTCCCCTTTCTATTCCAGAATCCCATCAAGAAATGCATTACATTTAAGTATCATGTCTTCTTAGTCTCCTCTGGGCTATGACAGTTTCTCAGACTTTCCTTGCTTTTGATGACCTTGACAATTTTGGGAGGTACTGGTAGGATATTTTGTAGAATGTCCTTCAGTTTGGGTTTGCCTAATGTCTTTCTCATGGATGGACTGGGTGATGGGTTTGGAGAAAAATATCTGAAAGGTGAAGTGCCTTCCTCCCGTCATATCAGTGGGGTTTTTTGATTTGTTTGAACATAACCACTGTTTTAGTTTGTTTCTGTTGCATATAACACAATACATGGAAGTGGGTGATTTATAAAGAAAACACAATTTATTGCTTACAGTTTCAGAGGCTGGGAAATCCAAAGTCCAGGGAACACAGCTAGTGAGGGCCTTGGTGGTGGTGACAGTGACCCAGGGATCTCACATAGCAGAAAATGGCAGAGCAGGGAGAGCAAC